TTATTTAAAAAGCTGGGCCTCCGAGTTTAGCCGCCCCTCTCCGAAAGGACCAAATGGGAAATTTGGGTAAAGTGCTTTTCCCAAGGACACCACGTCGGACCGAGCTGACGTTTGAACCCCCGAACCCGCGATCTCACGATTATGGGTCCGGTAGCCTAATACAGGGTGCCCATTGGGGGATTGGGTCGGGTCGGGGGAAGGGCGGGAGGGGCGTCGCTAGCCAGATCGAGGGCACAAAGCGACTATCGTTGCACAAGCTGATCACGCCCGACTCGTCGCCTCAAAAATAAACGCGTTTTCTGGCGACGAGTTGGGCGCGACCCGACCCGATCCCATCTGCCACGGGCACCTCGTATAACCACAAGGCTCTTTATTAGGGTAAATCTTTCATTTCATACAATAATTTCTTACCGCAAACGGGGATCTCACCCCCCCCCCCCATTCGCCCTCAGTCGCCCACACACGGAGTATTCCTAATTAACTTTGTTGTTTTGTTACATAGGCTATTTTTAGCCTACTATTAACAGTGTGAAATGCACCATTGTTACAAAGAGATGCATCAGCAATAACCGCCTATTATTTTTATGGTCGCCTAAACTAAGTTAGAGATTAAATAGATTATGTAAATCAAATTGAAAATGTTGTCTCTTCTCTTTAACTTCTTTCTTTTTTCCATTAAAAAGATTAATATCTATCGTCTTCAAGATAAAAAAAAAGAAGTGGAATTAATTAGAATATCCAAGGCAGACGAACAGCAATAATTATGTGCGTTTATGTCAGCTGCCCAATAGCGAGCGTGGTCTTAACATCTTAACAGCCATACCATCTCTATTATGGTATCCCAGCCATGTGACCAATAACGAGTGTCCTTTGTGTTAGGGAAACGCTGATTGGGCAATAGAATAACGTCACTCCCAAAACGAGGCTGGCGCGAAACTTCACCTGAGATTTTGTTGTACCTTCCTCATTATCGCATCGATCATCGACGTTGACGCACGTAGCTGTATTCTCCGTTTTCATCATCGACGATTGTGTTTTTTTCCAAGTTTGTGGAAGATTTCTGCGTTTGTGGCTTTCAGTTGGTAAGTACTTTCTGTTTATGTATCTATTTGATGCACTTTTTTAAAATGTATACAATTATTATTTGTTGAAATAGTCATTTGACCACTTACGACATGGTGCTGCCCACTTGGTCTAATTCATTTTTTCCACTCTTGAGATTTATGGAGACACCCCTATGATTGTATTATTACACACGTTTTTAATAATTCTAAAAAAACGAATATGTTTTAATCAAGGATAACGTATCAACACAATTAAAACATAATTTTTATTCCAAATGATTGACCATGAGAAGGGGAATGACAAAATGGCGATTTTCCATTATGACCACGAGGTTGACTTAGCCTATGATGGCCGCACCATGACGTTACTATATCGTTTCAACAAGACCGGTCATTGTGTTCTGCTTTATTCTGTAACGTAGACCTTCTATCGACAGTCTTCTCTTTTCCGTTGTTTATTTTAGATTATCATGTACTGTTGTAATAGAATGATATATTTCGCTGCTATTCATTTAAATCTAGATTGTTCGATTCATTTCTTGCCAACTTAAATGGCCGAAAAATGAAGGTCATGAATAAAGAATATAGGACAGACTGTGGAAGGGATCTGTCGTCAATAATCTTGAATTAGCAAGGAAGCAGTTCGTACTTTTAATGGTGAAATCTCTAGCTGTTTTACTTAATCTGACGACATTTCATTGTGGTAGACAGAAGTTACAGCAATTAAAACCACTGAACATACCCCACGCCATAGGGAGTTTTTAGCTCTTTGTTTGTTTTTTGCGGAAGGGGGTCGGGGATAACGCGAACACACCCAACAATAGTCCACCAGTGTGTACCCATTAAACATCTGGCAATCCAACGCAATAAAGAAAATGTTGCCGTGACATAATTCAGCCGGCTCAGCCACGTAACAATCAGCTGACCACCGGACAAAGTCCTTTGTTCACTCACATGGTTAGCGGTGACTGCTGCCTCGGGCACGCCCTGGTCTCTCTTCGGTCATGTGACCAGGCGTGTCATGAACTTGGGGAGGGGTGGTGGGAGGTAGGGGCAGAGAGGAAAGGGGGGGGGGGGATTAAATTATTGACACGTTATCATTTCACACGTTTAACTGGCCATTTGTTTTTTGTTTTTTTTCTTTCTGTTTTATTACCTCTTGATGGTGAACAAAGATTTACTGATCACGCAAACATACGTTCATAGTCTGTTTCGTTTGTTTCCATGTTTTATTTTCAACTTTCGAGAACACCCATCGGCCATTGTTGTCAATCTGTAACTTTCATTGACTTGTCAATATAGACCAGATTGTCTGTTACGATGACATTGGCTGATACGACATAAGGTTATTCTTGGACACACTTAGGCACTTCTTGCTGGAAAATTGACTGTCATGTGAATGTTTAAACACTGGAGAAGTTGCACTTTCACCTTTTGGTGATATCGGCAACGCTTAAACAGGGGAAGTAATCGAAAATCATGGGTTAAAAATTTCAGTTTCGCCAAAATGGCGTTTGGGCTCTTCTTTGATTGAATTTTGGCAAAGCAAAACGTGCACGTGGTGAGGGATTATGACGGGAAATTGTACAACACACTATGTGACCCGGAAGTCGTAACAGCTCTGTTTTGTCTGTTTTATATTAATGCTACTAGAAAAAGAAAGGGGGGGGGGTGGGGGGGGGGGGCAAGAATCCTTATCACTTGAATCTTTGTTCTTTGTATTGTAAGTAAAATCAGACTTTTGGTGGTGCGTGTTTAGTTGAAGGGTTACCACGCTACAGTGGTCCACCGTAAGTCCCGCCCCACCGACCACGGTCTACTGCCATCTAGGTCTCTGGCGTAAGTCCCGCCCTCTTTGGTCCCGCCTGATTGGCCACGGTAACGACAGCGCTAGGGCTGTCTAAACCAAAGGTGGTGGCGTTATGAAATTGCGTTGGGTGGGTGGGTTGCTTCGTTTTACGGTTCGTTTAGCTCACCAACATTTTACAGTGATAAAGATAAAGATTGACAAGAAAGTCGCAACAGAGAGTGACCAGACGGATCTATTTTCAAGAAATCTAGGCTCTGGGCCAACTCTCCCTACCCCCCCCCCCTCACACAGGGGACAAACTACAACCACCAAATCATTTTTTTATATGACCAACGGCCGCATCAAACCTGTATACCAGAAACATCACGGTAGATCGTTATCTAAACCAGCATCCATTTGGCTTGCACATCTTTTTTTATCAACCTTACAACGATTGATTAAGTCAATCTTCTTTAGAGTAGGTTTTTTTAACTTTTATGATATTATGCTAGAATCCCCGATTTATCATGAAGCTTGTTTTGAAATGGAGTCAGTGTGTGGGTCTCCTTAGACACCTTTCTTGTTGTCTTTGTGAACTCGAAGTGAAGTAGTTCACATTAGAAAGGCCATAGACTATTTACTTCTGAGGCTGGTTTTGAAATCAAATAAAAATGTGGCTCTCCTAAGACACATCTCGTGTTGTCTTGGTGATCTTGAATTTGTCGAGGGGGGGGGGGGGGTCACAGATCTAGTCCTATTCTTTTTCTTCTGTTGAAGCCGAAAACACGAGCCTCTTAATGCATTTAAACGTTGGGTTGGTACTTTGAATTTTGCAATAAAGTTTAAGTTTTTTTTGGTTTGGTTGGTTTTTAAGGGGAAATTTCATGATATAATTACAAACAGGGCCAATATGAGTTAATGAATAATGTTTAATACATAGAAACTATCCGTATAATAACTTAAATGTAACTTCTTCGTACCACAAGTAACAGCCTCGTATTATTATTATAATTAAGATAAGAAGGGAAGGAAGGCGTAACAAGGGAAAGTACTCGTGAAAACATACTGTTAAATAGCCTCTTTGCATAAATCTTCTATCAGAACAATAGGTTGTGTCCCTTCCTTTACGATGGTCGGATAAGAATTTGGTTCGAGCTCAGAAAACCTGTATATTATTATCGATTTGGGGGGGGGGGGGAGGGGGGGGGGAACTGAATTTAAAAAATGATACAAATTTTTTATGTCTAGGTCTATTTAAAAAAATATAATTACTTTATGACTTTTTTCTTTACTTTACATAATTTTAAAAAAAGACAAATTATGGTTGTTGGTATAACTGGTTTTAGGCTACACATACATTTTAGTTGTTAGATGTAACTGTTATGATGAACGTTGTATCATTTTTCTGAGTAGTATATTTTTCTCTGTTGCTTCATAGTGACCTTTTAGTTTTCACTTAGTATACTGATTGTTTCAGAACCAGAAACAACTAATTTTACTTTACGCCAATAGTCGTTATTCCTAGCAGCATCGTAAACAATTTTGTCAATTTCAGAGTAGATCAGAAGCTGGTAATCAAGACAAAAGTTCAATTCCTTACACATGCTGCAATATATCTGCCAAAAACTTTGCCAGTGGTTGCCCCCCCCCCCCTTAAAAAAATAATTACCCTTTGCAGTTCCATTTATTTTTTTTGCGTGAACCAAGCAATCATTCAAATGACTGTTACTTTAGTATTGTGCAACCAGTTAGAAAAAGAATTCTGGGAAATTATTAGAGTAAAGCTTATTGTCCTTATATTCCAACTGCCCACGTCCAGTACCATAAACCGAGGATTTAACAATGTCCTGTTGTGCCAGAGGCTATTACTCAATTAAAACCCAGGAAACTCCAAATTTTGAAATGGTTTGCAGACTTGTAATATGAGTTAATGATAAATGTTTAATACACGTTTAGAGAAATTATCCATAATAATATGATAACTTCAACATAACTTCTCTGTACCACAAATGTCAGTCTGCATTATATCATGATGACAACAGCGTACTATTATGATGTAATATTATACACACATTCATTGATGACCGAAGACAGGAAGGGACCGAGGTGTAACAAGGGAGCTTACTGGGGAAAAGATAAATCGCTTAGATTCCTGAAAGTACTGTTATGTCCCTTCCATAGTAGGCGCATTAAACTGCTCCGGTTGCAAACTTATGCCGGTCTTCTGTTTTCATTTCATAGACGCTCGTTCATTTGCAGATTTCTCTTAGTTTTGTATAATCAACATTGATTCTATGATTATCCTTTGAAAACACTAGACCACTACCCCGCCCATTTTGCCTTTTAGTTGCTTTCAGTAGCAAAAGGATTGTGTTTGTGTGTATGTGGTGGGGGGGGGGGGGGGAGTTCAAATTAATTAAATCTTAAACAACTCCATGTTTTCCTTTTTAAAACTTGAAATGTCTGTACAATACACTTAATATTAGCTATTAAAAGCTCCTTCATATAAATATATTTGCATACAGTAAGATCAGTGTGCTGATTTCTGCGTGATATTGACCGTGTTGTTTGTGATTGTTTCTTCCAGCATCTGAGTTGAGACATCATGTACCAAGAGTTGTGTGACGAGTCTTCTACTGCCCGGAAACTGGTCGTGAGCCAGAAGACGGTCAGCTCCAAGATGTTTGGCCGAGGTCGTGGCCAGAGTCACGGAGCAGGGTCAGGCTTGTTGAGAGGTCGTGGAGGAACGACGAATACGTCCGTTCTCGGAGACGTGGTCAAGGAACAGCCGTTGGAGAACTTCACCCCTGCCTGGTTGTCTCAGTCAGGGCTGTTGTCTATGGTCGAGACTCCAGACTCGTCCTCATCAGCGGAGACGTCTTCAGCAATTGGACCTTCCTTGTCTGGGAAGTTGTCTTCTTCGGTTGAACCTTCCTCGTCAGTGGAGCCGTTGGTACCAGTGCCTGAGACAAAACTGCCTGCTATAGGGTACGTACTGTGTGTTGTCACATGACTGTGTAGAGTAGATTTTCAATATTTTCTTCTACATCTTACAGCCCGGTGTCTGGTAGATGAACTTGGTTTTAATGTTTTACATAGCTGAATGTCTGTTGTATGATGAGACTCAGTTCTCGCTACAATAAACTTTAAA